GTAATTTTTTGGACTCCAGTCTTATCTGGAGTCCCTACAATGAAGGTCAACATTACTGTGCATAATTCTCCAGCTCCATGTATACTGATTGCTATTGCTAAGATGGCAGAAACACACAAACTCAAAATCAGGCATGTTTTCTTCATTGGAAGATTTGTCTGATCTTCACTTGGAAAATATCAAAGAAAAATTTCCAAAAACATTGCTAGTAGCACACCAATAATTATGTTAGGAGATTATGAAGTATGCCACCTCTGGAGAAGACTATGCTCATGAATGTACTGAATCCAGTGATAGCCATGATGTCTTCCAAACTGCTAGCAGCTATTAGTAAGGTTGGAATGTCTTTCTCAGTACCATATCCTTATCCTTGCAAATGTAGCATGGAAGAGACAACAACATCAGGAGAGATAGCACCTACCACAAAACCTAAAAGAAACCCCCATTCCCAGAGAAAATTCATAAGGAAGATGGAAATAACAGCAGTTGAACATGCCTCCATGAGGCATAGACCCATAGACAATCTTAAACAAACTCTTTTCAAATGCTTCAAAGTCTGTGGATGGAGTCCAAGTCCAGGTTTTATTAGGATAAGGGTAAGGGCAATATTCCTTTAAATTGAAGACCACTTGTTACTAGTATGGATGTACTCACTGATATATGGAGCATTCCTAATGGTAAAACCAGCTAATAACATCCCAGAAAGAGGTGAAAGTGGAAGCACTGAAGGTGTTCTAATGACTTCCAAAAGTTTTCCCCCAATTAGGTAACATTAAAAGACAATGAATAGTCCAAATAAAATTTCATCAGAGCAATGGCCAGGGCTTGAGATTGACCAGATTGTAAACCATATCATAAAAAGTAAATCTCCAAAAAATCTGGCAGGAATAGCAGGGGCTAGCAGATCCTTACTGGTGAGAGCCCAAAACCAGGGTATGCGCCCTGACCAGGAATTGAACCATGACTTCTTGGTGCCTGGGTCAGTGTACTGACCACTGTACTATACCAGCTGAGCAATTTCTTATTTTCTAATCTTTATGTTTTTTTTCTTGCTTTTTGCATATATAGTAACATGTTGAATTTTATAAACATTCACAAATGGGTATTGAACTTTGTCAAATGTTTCTTCTGTAAGAAAAAATTAAGCTCCTACTAAAAGCTTGTGCAGACAGAGCATCAAATTTGAGAAATAGTGCTTACTTATTCAATCTATCCCCTACCCACAACCACCCACCATGACTGAGGTGTATATGTGGATTCTGAATAAGATCACCACCTGGTTAGTGAAAGAGACTTACAGGGCCCAGACACAAACCTTCCGATGTTCAAGCTCCTGTTCTTTCATCAGCACCACGGTGGCGGCAAAGTAGTTAAATATAAGAATTCTCATAGCAATGCTTTTATTTTTTTATTTTTATTTTCATTAATAAAATGCATACATATCATACTGAACAATAAAATCTGATGGGACAAAAGAATCATCAACTTTTAAGGTGGGAGACAACATAAAACATTGGCATTCCTTGTGACATACCATTTTTCAATTAAATCACAGTTTTAGAAAATAGTTGAAAAATGCCTGAAAGAAAACATGTTATTTTAAAGTTAAGGTGCACATGTATGTAAACCTAATGAAAATGCTTGAAAGAAACATTTCAATCCATGTTACATAATTTTTTAATTAAGTGATATATTTATGGAAAAGAGTTGAAAATGCCTATCAGAAACTAGGAACTATTCAATCCCACAATTTATAATCTTTTCAAGCATGTGATACAGTTGTGAAAAATAGTTGAAATATGCATGATAAAAGAAGGGTCATGCTAACCTAATCCTACTTTTCAGTCACTAGCGATAGAGGAAAAGCAGTTGAAAAATGCCTGCCAGAAGAGATGACTATTAATCCCTACACTTGAAAACCTGCATCTCAATATGGTTAAACACACCAACAATGACCAAGGGACAAGAACTCTCTCAAAGCATACCAGATAACAGTTACAGAGTACTTTTGGCTTCAAGCTTTTGCTAAAAATATTTTACATTATTAAATGTATATTATTAAGTGTACACGGAAAGCTAACTGAAGTGACAAATAATAAGATTCAGGGACAGTTTGTAACAAAAGTTGTTAAAGTCCATTAATTTTTTCCCAAGAAAGGCAAGTGAGGTAGTTTATACTGTGTATACATTATAAAGAAATTAACATTCCAGTTTGTTTGAAGGTCATCACTCCAAAAATTATATCCCCAAGTGAGCTGCTTAGCAAAGGGATCCTCTTTTGCAGAATAAAGGAAAAAGTGAGTCAGTTCTAGTGAGTGTGTGTGTGTAAATGAATAAGTGTTCCTAAAATGTTAATTTTCTCTAATTCTTTCCTGGATATTATTTTCCTAACTGTACACCAAGGGCAGTAGGGGTGAGGTGTGAAGGTATTAAAAACAGAATTTAAAAGCCCAGTCTGATGGCTTTTGTTTGCAAATATACTACTCATTTTTACAGATTGCCATAACTATTTTAAAACAGCTCTTGATAAGGCAAGACTAGTTTTTCAATACTTATGTAGCATGCATTTTTAAATTTCAATTGTAAGGGTTTGTTTATTCTTTAAAGATAAAATTAGTAAAAACAAAAAACAAAACAAAAAACAAAAACCTCTTTATTCACATAAAATCCGTCTGTGTCTACTGAAAATTCTTCTCTAATCAGTTAGCCCTTTGACTAAGAATAAAAGTTATCATTGGATAATGCTATTGGTATTGACGTGGCCTTCTATATAATAAGGTTATTTGAAAGTTGTCACACATCCTTGAATACATTAGAGTGATTAATTTAAAGTAATTGATTCAGTTAAGTCTCTGACCTATGAAAACACACAAAGTGGCTAAGAAATTCAGAAACTTACTGTTTTTACTTGTCATCTGTTTGCTATTTATTTAAAACTGATGACAAGTGAGGTAAATCTTGAAATCCTTAGAACTTCTGTATAGGTTCTAATGTATTTTCAGTCAAAAGAAATGAAAATTCCTAAATAAAAAACTGAATGACTAGATGCATGGATTTTCTATATAAACAATTTATTCTAAATGATAAGAAATACAATGAGATAAATCAATCATTATTTTCATATATACATAGAAGTGTAAGGTAGTTAATTTGAAGAATTTCTTCCATGTGTGTAGGTATATATTACTGCCATCTTACGTTTTGGAACTTAGCAACAACATCAAGTGAAATGTTTATTCCTGTAGTTTAAATTGCATAAATGATAAAAGCATTTTTTCAGACTCTTGAAATTCACTATGTAAACTCATATGTCATCAATTACCCACATACCAAAAGCTAATGAAATGTAAGTCTAAACTTACAGAACATGCTTCTTTCCGAATGCGTTTTCAGGAAAAGGAAATGAGAATTCTCAAACAAATAAAATGAATAGATATTTGAGTTTTCTACAAAAATGTAACAAAATCTTAATGATCAGAAACTGAATTATCTACATGTAGAATATAAGCAATATTTTTATAGACATCAAAGCATAATGAAGCATATAAAAATTTCTTATATATGTGGGCTTTAATTATTATCACATTATGTTTTGAAACTTGGTAAGAAGATACGTTTTCTGCAATTGTGAGCAATTTTGTCTCTTGTTTGAACTGCAAGAAAGTCATTTGAGTGTCAAAGCTCATTAAGGCAACAAAATACCAATCTGGGGATTTTAATCCAAAGCATGTGGGATAAATGAGACGTCGGCCCCATTTCTAGCTCACCCCAGAAGGACTATATCTGCATTCTCAAGATGAAAGGCAGAACTGTCTGACCCTTCTGCATATTTTAGATTTGCTTTCAATTACAATCCCGGGGACTGTGTGTTCTTATCAATTTCAGGTCTAAAATGGCTCCACAGGATCTTGATAGTGAGACAGTTTTCCACTTACAAAATATGCATCTGATTTAAAAACCTGATGCTAATCCCCAGTGCTTGGCCATGACTATGATTGATGAACAGAAACAAAACCTGCTTTTACAGCATGAAAATCTGAATGCAACGGTATTTTTAAGCACTCTTGGATAAAGACAGTTCTGTATTTTTGAGCGGGGGGTTGCAGAAGTGACTATCTACAGTTGTAAAATATAAAAAGTGATATGTTTGATCAGGAAAGGAAATCAATGCCCGGCACATGGAAAGCTATTCATTGAGCACCATAATCATGAAGAGAAAAATAGAGGCTCTGTGACTTTTGACTACACAGAAGGTTATGAAAACACAAGAATACCCTTTGTCAAACTAAGCTTGCTTAGGGGGTCCTGTGCTCATAAGGGAATAAGCTTTATAAACGTAAGTTTTCAGCAGTCCAAGAAAAAGAAATGTTCATTTGCACCAGAATGCTGATTAACATGATACAGTACAACGTACATAATAGTACAGTGTCTTTAAACAGAAGTGTCTCCTTCTCCAATTCAGGAGTAAGTCAGAGCATAAATAGTGTAGTGTAACTTTAGAAACTGATTCCACTGGAAAGTAGAGCTGAATTATTGTATAGAGTGGAAGTTACTGATATTTCTGGCATTCTTGCTTAAACAGGACAATATATGTAATATATAGCATAAGTATAAAAAAGTCTTTCCCCCACCTCTTGTGTTTGGTACACAGAGAAGTGTTTCTTATCCTTAGATACAGGATCAAGTTCATTTCTGCTGTAGCCATCAGACTAGCAATGGTCAGAATTACTGTCCTCGTTGGGTCTCTCTTCAGAAGGAACATGACTTCTTACTTGCAACCTCATCAAGGAACTGTCATGAGAAAGCTTTGGTTCAAATGGTTAGCCGTATCCTCTTCCATAGTTCACACTGACAATGCTGGGAGTCACCACTTAGGCTGAGAAACACCACGAGGGTTATAGGAACAAACATGTCAAAAGCAGCCTTTTTCATTAACTCCCCTACTTAATGTAGAATTTTCTTGGCATATTAAACATAACAGCTGCCATCTTAAGGGTATTTCAAAAACTTGATTGGGGTTTAATGACCCATTCTGCTTGAGGATTTACATGATATACATCCAATATATAAGCTTCTGGATCCAAGCAATGCTGTCCTAAGGAAAGAGAAAATCAGAGCATGTTTTTAAGAGTGAACACTTCTGAGTGTGTGTGTGTGTGTGTGTGTGTGTGTGTGTGTGTGCATGTATGTGTGAGTTTGTAAGGTCTCAATAAGGCTAATATAGTTCTCTTAGCCAAAAGTAAGTACACTAAGCACTTTTCTTACCATTTTTAGAGTTGAGTACGTTAAGTTATGAAATACTGTCATGCCCTTACTGATCACTGGACAAGCAATAAACAAAATATATAATGAGACAAAAAATTTATATGGCAAACGTCAGGGTACTTACACAAATCTAGAAAGTATAGTCCACTACTGTAATCCTATGTGCAATGTTTTTATATGACTGGAAGCACTGGCTTGTTTACACTAGCATTACCACAAATACGTGTCTAATGTGTTCGGCTAAATATGACAGCTATAGTGTCACTAGACAGTAAGAATTTTCCTGCTCCAATATAATCTATTGGGACCACCATCATATATGCAATCAATTGTTGACCAAAAACATGACTATAGATACATTTTTTTTGTAGATACATTTTAAAGATTCCTATCAAAGTTTGCCTGCATTCCTTCCTTCCCTCCTTTCCTTTTTTGTTTCTTCCTGGCTGTTAAACACTTAAAAATAAATCCCATGCGAAATTGTGGAAAATACAGTCATATCACCACAAGCAAATTGTTTCCTAGACTCACCACATCTATTAGCAACAATATGTCAAGGACTTGTTTCAGTTATAAAATGATAATTTATAATGTAATACAAGTCCTCTAATGGTTTTACAGATAGTAACTTGACCAGGAATAGAGAAGATTAAAAAGCAAGTTCATTTAAATTTCTTTATGATGGATGCAATGCCCATAGCCAGAAGATCTGGAAATAACAACAAAAAGATCATTCTAAGCGATAAGATACATGTGAAAAATTTTATATACAGTGTGTTTGAAATGCATATTAAATTCTCAGGCAAAATTACCAAGATCTGACCGCTTGTTTGTGTCATTCATTTACCGAATACTTTTTGAGAGTTATTATGTTCCAGAAACGGTTCTCAGGCTGGGGCTACAGCAATGCATCTGCTTGAGGATTTACATAATATACATCCTATGGATGCTTATATTCTAAAAGTGGTAAAAGCAATCAGTAAATAGACTAGTATAATGTAAAGCAAATCTGATAGTGATGAGAACATTAGAGAACAACCAAGTGCAGAAGGAACATAGTGAAGATATAATCCAGGAAGGTCTCATTGAAAAGGTGATATTCATCAAAGGCCTGCATGAATCAAGGGAGCAAAGAATGAACAATCTGAAAGAGAGTTTTAGGCAAAAGTCAGCAAATGCAAAGACTCAAAGCAGAATGTGCCCAGTGATTGAATACATAAGATTGGTGCTTGAGGGAAAGTCTGGATATAAATGTGAGAAGCATCAACATACAGATATATTCAAAGCAATGAGATAAATTGAGCTTCCCAAAGAAGTGTAGATAAAGAAGAGGTGGAAGGACAGAACCCTACAGCTCTCTAATCTTATGAGGCTGAGAGGATAAATAATGGGCACAGGACACCCATGAGTAGCCAGCGTAGTGGGAGGGAAGCCAGGAGCTTAGGTTGTCTTTGAGACCAGATGAAATGCTTTTCAAAGAAGGGAAAGATCAACTCAGTTATAAAGACAGGCTGAATTGTTGGACTTCACAAGGTAAGAGTTCTCCGGTGATCTAGACAAGAGAGCAATTTTGATTTAAGTGTTGAAAGCTAAAGCGTGACTGGAGTGGTTTCAAGAGGAAACAAGAGGAAGAAATGGAAGTTTAGACAACTGATTCTAGGAGTTTTTGCTGTAAAGTAGAATAAAAATGGGCATTGACTGGAAGGAGATCAAGAGAGAATTTTATAAAAATGACAGACATGCCCTGGCTGGTGTGGTTCCTGGCATGCACTAAAGGTGGCTGTTCTATTCCTGGTCAAGACACATGCCTAGGTTACGGGCTTGATCCCCAGAAAGGAGGTATGCAAGAGGCAGCCCATTCATGATGTTTCTCATCCATGTGTTTTTTTCTCTCTCTCTTACTCCTTTCCTCTGTCTCTCAAATCAATAAAAATCAAATTTAAAAAATGAGAGACATTACCAAATTTTTATGTAGATAGAAATTGTGCAGTTGGAGGGAAAGTTGATGATACAAGAGAGAATGGGGGAATACCTGGATCAAAGTCCTAACTGGGCAGGGGGACATGAGTGGAAGAGTTGGTCTTAAATAGAAGCACAGATATTTCCTCTGGACTGTGAGGAAGGCAAGCAGAAGGCACAGACACAGAAGATATGGGCACAGAAGAAAGTAGAGGGAATTTTCTTTAAATTCCCTTTTCACCATCAGGGAAACAGGAAGAATGAAGTTGGCTGCTAGTGAAAATAGAGAAGTTAATTAAATGTTTCATGGTGTTCTTTCCTTTTTCATAAATCTCCAGAAAGAGATTTTCCAACTTTGAGGCACATTTAAAAGATCTAAAAGTCTACTCTATATAAACTAAAATATTCACATTTAAATTCTGAAAATGTATTAGAAAAGTCATACTGTTTTTACATAAGATTAAAAAATCAAAAAGTCACTGATTATGAGTTTATATATAAGAAACTTATAAAATACAATTTTATAATAATAGCATCATATTTCTTTTAGAGCAATCAGAGAATTTAGAAATGAAAATGTTAAAGAATCCTTACCTATATTTCCTCCAATTTCATATAACCTTTGGTTCTGAATTTTAATGCATTCTGAAGAACTGTGACTAAAAAAAGAGAAAACAACGTAAGTTTAACCCTTTCATAATCAGAGGTTAATCTGTAGATTAAATAACCATGGCAACAAACAATTTATTCTGCCTTGAGTATAACACACTCCACAAATCATTATGACTGAAGTTATGATAAAAACAACTTTCTGTTTGACAAAGACAAGCATTTGAAGCACCCAGAGGATGGATGCTACAGGGCTTCCACAGCCACTGGAGCCCATTTATCCACAACTGTCAGCTCTACTTAAGGGAGGTAACTGCTACTGACATATCACATGGGCCAAGGAGCAGCTGGGTGCTCCATTATGCCTAGTCATTGGTCCCATCACTCTTAGTTCAAAAAAAGTCAGGTTTCATTTCCATATTTGCCAAAAACTGAATGGGATTCTCTCCTCAGCCCATGTCACATTTCTAAGGTTGGCTAATTAATGCTTTGCTACTGTCTAACATTTCATTGCATGACTTTGCCCTATAATAAAAGCAAGTCAGAGAAAATGATTGCCCAATGACATTTTTCTACCCCAGCCTAGAATGCTGGGTAGAAGAGTCTGGAAAGACCATTTCTGATCTCTATCCCACTTCAGGAATGACTTTCAGCTTGATTTCTCCAAAAATATTGTTCTCACTCTATCGTGAGGAAGAATATGTAAATTCTCATTTGTTTAATTAAATTTCTTGATATAATTGTAAATTTGCATGTAGTTGTAAGAAATAATACAGACGGATCTTATGTATCCTTTACCCAGTTTCCTCTAACGGAAAAGTGTTTAAAGACTAGTGCAATATCACAACTATGTTGCTAAGTGATTCAGTCAAGATATAGAACATGTCCTGGCTAGTGTTGCTCAACAGTTAGAGCGTCAGTCCACACACATAAAGTTCACAGGTTCAATCCCCAGTTGGGGTGGCAGGCAACCAATCCATCCATGTGTCTCTCTAACACTGATGTTTCTCTCTCTCTCTCTCTCTCTCTCTCTCTCTCTCTCTCTCTCTCTCTCTCGCCCCCCTGCCCCCCGCCTCCCTTCCCTTCTACTTTCTCAAAAAATCAATGAAAAAATTATCCTTGGGTGAGGATTAACAACAACAACAACAAAGAGAGTACATTTCCATCACCACGAGATCCATCCTTTCCCCTTTATAGTCACCCCTACGCTCTCTTCCTGTCCCTATCCATAATCCCATCTGCTATCCCTCTATCCACATTTCTATAAATTTGTCACTTGAAAATGTTATGGAAATGGAAATGTACAGTAGGGAATTCTTTGTATTAGCTTTTTTCCATGGGTATAAATCCCTGAATATTCATCCAAGTTGCTGACTTTTATTGCTGAGAAGTGGTTCTAATTTTTCAAAAAGGCCAAATTTGTAAATTCCTGAAAAGTTACTCTCTGATAAAAATTCATCACTTTGTATAGAGACCTTTATTCACATTTACTCACCTGTTCTCATATTGAAATTTTGCCAGAATGTCTTTGGCTTTGGTTTGACTACTGAGCTGAATGGCCATAGAAACCTTCGAAAGACGTGGAGCATGGACCCTTATGACGCCTTCTGGCACATCAGACTGACAATGAGGAAAAATTCAGTACATTTTGTCAAACTGGGATGAACATCCATCAGTTCAATTAATGCACTTAAGAGATACAAAACCAGTGGTACTCTGAACTAGAAAAACATGTAAACATGACTAATATTTAACCAGAATGAAACAATGCTTTCTTTTTAACAGAAGATTCAACAACATTTAACCTAGAATTTTACTGTCACCACAAGCTTAGGTCATATATAATGCCTTAAAAATCATGAGAGGATTAGAACCGAGTTATAACAAAACAACTGAAGTTTCTATTACTGCATTTCCTTGAACAATGTTCTAAATAAGCCTACTGTAAGCAGAGTTTTATATTTTAATATATTTTAATATCAACCTGAAAAAGTCAAGGATCGATTAGGAAATATGTCTTTTTAAATATCCCTTTGCTTTAGTCAGCCCAAAGATAATTCCAGATGGACACTTGAGACTTGATCCACGTGTGCTAATAACACTGTGAAGGGCAGACATGGACTGCTACTGGGAAAGAGAATGTCTCTGTTTTATGTAACAGAATTGGCTTGGGGACTCCCATTTAAATGTTAAAAAATGTTGCTCTCTAATTAATAGAAATTTCTGTTTTGTCAGGATTGACTGGAAAATTCCTTTGTTTCAAAAATTTGAGTGTTTTAATGATTAATTCTCTAACTAGAGATGAATAGAAACAAGTTTCTATTTGTTTGAGGGTCTGGCTACTCCTCAGGTAAATCTGTATGTTCTCAAAAGGTGAAATTGTTGATGTATATTTATGTGAATTGATTCAATATTTATCCTAGACAGGATATTAGGTTTTAAATTGCATCCCCTACAAAAGTATGTTGAAGTCCTCACCCCCAATACCTGAGAATATGACCTTATTTATAATGTCATTGCAGATATAATAGCTAAGATGAGCTCATACCAGAGTAGAGTAGACCCTTAACCCAGTGTGACTAGTGTCCTTACAAGAGGAGAAGAGACAGGGACACATGCACCGGATTAATGCATAGCAAGGCAGAGGCGGAGGTTGGAATGCGCTGACAGTCTAAGGAATGTCAAATACTGCTGGCATTATGAAAATCTAGAAATGAAGTCAAGAATAGGTTCTGGTTTCATGGCCTTTCCGAAGAAATCAACCAAACTAATTCTTTGACTTTGGAATTTAGCCTCCAGAACCATGGGGAGTGAATTTCTATTGTTTTACTAGTAAGTCATCCAGTTTGTGGTACTTTATTATGGCGGTACTAGAAAACGAATACAAATTTTAAATAGGGTCGATCTTTATAGGACTATTCTACCGTTCCCAGCAGAACCAGGAGAACATGGTAGGAAATGTACACACAAGATTTAGACTTGGAATGGGGCAGAGTGAACTTGCTTTGTTGCAGCCAAGACTGAATTCTTAAGCTACCCTTGTTCATTTTCATGTCCCACCCCTTCTAGCTCTCCAGAAGCCTCTGTAAGATAAATTCCATACCTCTGACATTATCGAACCTGTGATCATAAAAAATCACATTTCCTTCTAATTTCCACTTGTGTGGAGATGCCTAACTGCACATTTTGAATCATCATATAGTTATGCTATAAAAAAAAAGTCAAGTTTGAAGGTTATATCATGACCAAAATTATATACAGATATTCTGGATGTAGCCAGGGAATACTATGTAGAAAGTTAATAATCACAGATTAAAAGAAATTATTTTCTTTTTCTTACCATTCTTCTTAAAGAGGGTGATTTTTGTAGTACCTTTGAAGTCTTGGGGCTTGTAACCTAAATAAAACACATTTAGTTTTTAGGATTAATGTTGGAAAGACATGCATATGCTGCTATTGAAAGTACAAACTGGTACAATCTTTATGGAAAATATTTTGAAAAATTTACCAAATTATAAAATAAATATGTACTTTAATCCAGCAATTCCAAATCTACAAATTTATCCTACAAATACTCTTCATTTTTTAGAAATGACAGAAAACAAGTTTATTCACAGATGTAAAACTCTTAATAGCAAAAGACTGGACACCATCTAACTGTTCAATAATATGGGGTGGCTTAAATAAAATATGATATGTCTATGAAATATCGTGCAAAAGAAGCAGAGAAGAAGGCTTTGTGGACCGATGTGGGATAATCACCAAGATGCGGGACAGTATTTTATGTGTGTTGTATCATTCATGGAAAAAGGGGGGAGGACATTTACTCATATCTCCTTGCATGTGCACAGTTTTCTCCGGAAGTAAAAACTGTACCACTTGCATCCTTGTTTATTATTACCTCTCGTTCTATGGTCTTCCTCCTTAGCAACTTTTTGACACTTGGGAGCTGCTTCTTTAACAACATGGTGGCCTCATTCATTCTTCGGACTTGGTTGATTAAGAAAGATGGGACCTGGAGAAGAAAAATAGCTTGACCTGAAGGAAAACCCTCGAATTAAACCTTCCCACTAGATTCTGTCTTCAGTTATGATAATTTATAGCCACTCAGTGTACTGTGGCATTTGTCCTTGTAAAAATTAAAAAAAAAAAACTATTAGAATTCATATTTAAAAAGAAAGGACAAGTTCAGGAGCAGCTCTCAAAAAAAATGCATAATGATATTACAGGTAACCTGGGATTATATTCTCATATTTCCTCCCTGTGACGAAGGGCATTGCTTTCTCATGGAGCCGTTGTTTCCTGGGTGCTGGTAAACTTCAAAGTACATTAAGGTAATCTATTACTCACCTTCCACAGAATTTTCTGGTAGTTAAGCATTAGGCGGATGATGTGGGCTGCAGTGTTTGCTAAGCGTAATTCTTCATAGTCAGAATGCTTGCTTCTACTGAAGAAAAGGTTTGGTGCCATTATAGTAGAAATATTCCATATGCTCATTCGGTTCTTTGATTCATTGGCAATCACTTTATTAAAGAATGTCATTAGGGCCTAAAAAGATACAGCATTGTGTCACACTAATGTAAATTATTAAAAAGCACCAATGATCATCTTCATTTACTTCTGTACTCATTTTCTGTGCCTCGGGAAGTTGTCAGATTATTCCCCCAAGTACAGAATGGCTAAATGTCATGCTCCCCTTTACTTACTTAAAAGTGCTGATGAGAAATGTGAATAGTTTTTATGAAATTTATTATAGTGGAATCTCTATAAATAATACTTTGCACTGTCTTTTCTTTTATCCTAAATAAGTTTGATAAATACTAAAATTAAGTAGTAAACTAGGACTAAAAAATACTGTATCTCAAAAAAGATAAATAACATGCAATGCAATTTCATTTTGAAGAAAATTCTAAAACAAAAACCAAAACAACACCCTGAAAACATTACTATAAAAAACTACCGTTTTCTTGGGAAAGGAAAATCCATTTTTAAAAAAAATGAGTATCTCATTCCTCAGACCAAATGTAAACACAATTGAAAAATTTTTAAATTTTACTTAGTGGATATCAGTTTTATATTGTTTTTCAATTTTGGAATCTTCAGTAGACCAAAGGAAAAGGCTTACATGCAGCTGTTTTAAAATGTTGTTTTAAAGCTTTGAGAAAGCTTAATAACAGTTGGGCTAAGCCAACAAAGTATAAATGTTTATCAGACCTTCTGAAATTCACCAAGAGGACTGAAGGTAGATGCTCTTTAGTTTCCCAGGTTTGAATTCTGCTATACTATTTGTAATGAGAAAATGGCAGCACATAAGAATAATAATAGTTAACATTTATCTGAGGGTTTATTATGAGCCAGGCATTATTCTTAGTACTATATATATCTCCACTGATTTTATCATATTTCAAAATCTTGTGTGGTAGGTACCATTTTATAGATGAGAAATTAAGGTGGAAAAGGATTAATAGCTTTGTAAAGCATCAGTTCATTAAGTAGCAAAGCCAGGATTTGAACTGAAGACATCTGATTCTTGAGCCAAAGCTCTTGATCTCTATGTACACCACACCAACTTCAATCTTAGTTCTAGTCACAATTTGGAATGGGAGAGAAAAAAAAGGGGGCTGGGGGAAGAAAACTGGGAGCAGGGATGGGGGGAGAGAAAGAGAAAGAGAGAGAGAGAGAGAGAGAGAGAGAGAGAGAGAGAGAGAGAGAGAGAGAGAGAGAGAGAGAGAGATTCTTCACAAGTTCTGTAATGTTTTTTGAAGATCTTCTGTTAGAAATGTATTTAATTTCCTAATAATTACTACAATCTCAATTATATGAAAGAATAGATGATATTTTGACTGAGATATCTGATACCTGATGCATTTTTTTTAATAAAAGATCATTGCTTAGCCAAAGCCGATTTGGCTCAGGAGTAGAGCATCGGTCTGCGGACTGAAAGGTCCCAGGTTCGATTCCGGTCAAGGGCATGTTATATTGGTTGTGGGCACATCCCCGGTAGGTGGTGTGCAAGAGGCAGCTAGTCGATATTTCTCTCTCATTGATGTTTCTAGCTCTCTATCTCTCTCCCTTCCTCTCTGTAAGAAAATCAATAAAATATATATATAAAAAAATCATTGCTTAGACAAAGTAAAAAAACAACAACAACAAAACAACTAATAAATTCCAGCTTTTGAAAAATTATGAAATTGTATTAGAGAAAGTTCTTATGCCATAGCCAACCCCCATCTTTGTGTTGAGGATATAATTAACATATAATTAATGTGGGAGGAAGGGCCCTCATCAAATTAAAATGTCTGATAAGAGGCAGCATTAAGAATCATATTTGTTTTTAGCATTATGTTTACTGGGCTCAAAATTATTGGCTCTAACTTATCTAACCTCATTTCAAAGATTCTCAACACCTATTATATTTATATAACCAATGCCCTATTGTATACAGAATCACTATCAAAACAGCAAGAGAAACTTTGATTTTTTACCAACATACAGCAACAAAATGAATTTGAAATGAAGGGAGGGATATTTAGGATGAAGAACTATGGAACAGGATTCTACTAAATGTTCTATCACAAGTTAATGGACAAATCACTTTCTGAGTTTAATTTTCCTAATCCATAAAATGACAAGTTCCTATCTTGTAACCTCTAAAATTCAGAGATTGTAGAATTCTTTAAATTGAATTTTCAAATGTTAAAGCATGAACATTTAAAAAAATTAAATCACTGATTTCAAAATTTTTTCCCAAGGACACTCCTCAGATCTTTTGCCACTAGACTGAAGTGGGCAGCAGAGGACCAGCAATTAGAGAGTTAAAATTTACAACTTACATAATATTCTTATTTATTTCTGACATTATTCTACTTAAGTCTTCCATGTTTGCTTTTCCTAATCCTAATACTAACCCTCGACCAGGGCCTGGCACATGGTAGACATTCAATATCTAACAAATTGAATAAATGAAAGTGAAATGTTCAAAGAAGACTCCAGGGTTTATATTCTATCTTATCTTCCTCCAGAGAACAGCAATGGGATCAAGGAAGGGAAACAGGTTTGCAGCATGCTCGGCTTGTTTTTCACTTGCTTATCATCTGTTTTTCACTTTTCCATCTGAGCCATTTCCTCGGATCAACAAGAGCCACCGACAAACCATGAGGTCAATACAACATACCTGAGCTGTGTCTCTGTTGGCATCAGGCAGTGCCATGACCATGAGGTGTAAAGCTTGAAACTGTACTTTGATGTGAGGCCCTCCTAACAAGAAAACAGAAATAACCACTCATTTGGAACACGGCTGATATATTCTGACAGCATTCCTCGCTAACATCTGGTGGCAGAGGAGGGCTCCTGACAGCTCTCGGTGGTAAGGACTGTTTTTGTGCCCCACAATTAAATTTGTTCTTGTGGACAGTCTATCAACTCCCCTCTCACATCTCATGATGCCATTGTAGAGGCAGGTGGCCAAGATCCTCAAAATAATTCTGGATTTGTACTAGTAGAACATTTCCCATTTCAAAGTACTTTCACAGACCTTGCTTTACTTTTATGCTATAAACAGAAGGCTTGAGGCTCAATTCAAGAGAAAATAAATCTTGTTTCCACATAAAGAAGCAGCTAAATAGAATTATTAGGAACATGTGCCATATAAGCGGCTTCCAATCCAGTAAGTACTGCTTAGTCCTTGAGTGACTTTGGGCAGGCTATTTCACCCCTCGTTGCTTCTATTTTATCATTTGCAAAATGTAACTTTTGGGCTGTTATAAAATTTAAATGACTTAAAACTCAAACTCAAAATGGAGTAAAGACTTATACAAAAGACCAGGAACCATAAAAATCCTAGAAGAAAGCATGGCATTGGGTCCTTGACATATGTCTGTCTTGATGATGAATTTCTGAATCTGACACCGAAAGCAAAAGCAGCTGAAAGAAAAATTAACAAATAGGACTATATCAAACTTAAAAACATTTACCCAGGAAAGGATACAATCACAAAATGAAAAGGTAACCTGCTTAAGGTGAGAAATATTTGCATATCATTACATCTGTGAACCATTATATATTAAGGGGCAAATATCCAAATCATAAAGAACTAATACAACTCAATAGCAAAAAAACCCAAACAATCTGATTTAAAAATGGGCAGAACAGTCATTTTTCCAAAGACATATAGGTGGCCAACAGGTACAAGAAAAGATGCTCACCATCATTAATTATCAGGGAAATGCAAATCAAAACACAATGAAATGTTACCTCACACCTGTTAGAATGGCTATTATAAAAATACAATAATAGGTGTTGGCAGGAATATGGAGAACAGGGAATCCTTGTGTAGAGTTGGTGGGAACATAAATTGGTACAGCCACTATGGAAAACAGTATGTTGGTGCCTCAAAAAAATTAAAAACAAATGTGTCATATGATTCAGCAATTCACTTTTGGGTATTTATCCTAAGAAAAAGAAAACACTAACTGGAAAAGACATATGCATCCCAGTGTTCACTGCACCACTATTTACATTAGTCAGAATATGGAAACAACCCAACTGTCCAGTTATAGATAAATGGAAAAAGAGAATGTGTTACACACAAACACACACACACACACACACACACACACACACACACACACACACACACAGTGGATATTATTCACCCATAACAAATAAAATCTTGCCATTTGCAATAATATGGATATACCTTGAAGGCATTGTGCTAAGTGAAATAAGTCAGCCAGAGAAAGACTAATAGCATCTGATCTCCCTTATCTGTGGAATCTAAATCTAAAAAATACCCTCCAAAAAACACCTTTTCAAAAAAAAAACAAAAAACAACAACACAAATTTATAGATACAATGGAAAGCTTTGGGAAAACTCCCAAACATTACTGAAACCTACTGAAGAGTTTGTGATTTGGGCAATTATATGAAATCCATTTATAAATGCTCAAATTATACTTAAGTGGGATTGTGATCTATGCCCTATCTTTATAGATTTTCCTGGGTTGAATAATTACAGAAATGGCAAGATTTTGTTACCTATTGAGTCTCTCAGGGGATTTTTTTTTTTTTTTGCCACCAATAATTTTGAAAAGTTTGGACCAATTTGCCATTGCCCTTGTGTATGCTTTATGAAGTATGTGGAATAAAGTGCTGGACATTCATTTTGGTGCCGCTGGGTAAGTGTTTTGGGAATGTCTCATCCATTGCTGTGTGAGAGACAGAGTTGAGATATCTTCTATTATATGTAGGAACAGATTGTTACATATGAATTAATACCTCTTATTAAAGTATGGATTCATGAAATTAGAGAGAAAACCTTTTAATACCAAGAGCAACAAGATCAATAAAAGGTGCTTTTGTGCATAGTGGTTTATGGATAGAGTAATCCCTTTACCTTAAGAAATATGGGCTTTATGTATGCATGCATATAAGTATAACCAATGGACACAGTAGGGGAGTGAGGGCATATGCTGAAGTGTTGGAAGTGGCCGGGGAGAGGTCAATGAGGGGAAAAGAAGACATATGTAATACTTTAAACAATAAAGAATTAAATTTAAAAAAGAAATAAAGAAAAAATAAATGTGAGCTTTATTTTATAACTAAGATTTCCTTTGTATGTTGGACTGCCTCTAAAAATTCATTTGTTTCTTCTTCATGTGGGGGTATCTCAGAATGTTAGAAAATCTTTTTGTTTTCACATCATGCCTGTAGTGGGACATGGAACACGATGTCAGCCTGCATCCTCCCACCGCTGCCTTTCAGGACTGAAGGACCTAATCCCCAGCTGGCAGCTCTTCCTAGAAAGTGCTCTCCCCAGCTGTTTTGCCTAAGGTCAGGATGTCTTCTGAGGTTCTGTCTATATCCACTCACAGCCTGAGTCAAAATAAAAATGCCCAACTTTCTCACTGTACTGGGAAACAATTTGAAAGGCCATCCAGCCTCAGAGCTCTCCAGAGGGTTCCATGAGGCCTTGGCTCAGACTGCACCACTACCAGCCTGCACCACTCAGACTGCACCACTACCATTATTCTGCCCAATTCTGATTTCTTTCCCTTCCCTTTCAGAAATGTGGAACCCAAGTGTACACCCTGTTAAATGTTCTATACACACTATGAGATGCTGCTCATGGGGAATCCAACAAAGCTTCAATCATGAGCCATTTCTAAGGCATATGATCAGCAAAGATGCTAACTTAAAACTTTAAACAAGGTAGCTTCTGTAAACAGAATGCCTGGCATTAAAAAAAAGAAAGATTAAGTAAGTTAATATGTGTAGAGTGTTCATATCAGTGCCTCTAAGTCATACCTCTATGGGTGTTTTCTCTGGTTCTGATTAATGACATGTATTCTAGATCTTAAATGGACATTTAGGAAAGGTAATTCTATTTGGGTCTCTAGAGATTGTTGACATTTTATTCCTTGACAAGGACAGAAGATGGCGCTAGACGTTTGGCATTTATGCTTTTGTTCTTAAAGCCAGCTCTTCCCATTTCAGGGAAGGGATTTTAACAATTTCATCCACAACTGGTTAACCTACTCCAGCTGCGCTGAAAATGTGGAGTTCACTACAGCATCCAGGTTTTGCTTTGTCTCTCTGTATTCTCCTCAAAAATGGTCTCTTAGTGGGGAGTTGCTGGCAGGAAGCATTATGTTCTAGAATTCCTGGGGAGTTCTTAAGGTGATGAAAAAATCTATGTATAGTCAATGGATGGAAGGCAGTCAGCTGCTTATTGTCACTTAGCTTCACAATACTGGAAACACTCCTGTGACCAGGTCTTGTTACAAGAGGTTGTGTGCACCCAAGTTAGGTACAGATGATGAATACAAATAAACACATAATGAAGGAACAGTTGGAAGGAGTATTTATAGGGTTGTGTCATATTTCCTCAGCACAACCCCCTTGTGGATTTCTAGAAACTTGTCAAATTTGTAAGCAAAAATGACACAGGTGCAGGATATTTCTGAAAACTGCTAATGCATGCTGACATGAGTTTGACTGAATAACAGGACTATCAGGAGCACATCTCAGTACATATTTAGGGACAGAGAAAGCATTATTTTAATGAGGACAAAGCAGGCTAAGGGCTACAATCTTCCAATGCAATCCCCAAAAACCTCTATGGGGGAGATAATAGATGCAGGCTGTATCTCTATCAATTTCAGATAAATTATAAAGTTTCTGTTAAGATCTAAAATCTAAACTGGCAAATAATCCATTTTCATTTTATTTAGGAATCCTGGCCCTACTCTGTTTTATGTTTAATGGTTTGGTACTTAATTCATTTATTGCATCCTAGTTAAGTCTTCTTTTGTCCTGAGATCATTATTTCCTTAGAAAGCTATCAAAGTTTTCATGCCAATAGCTCAGGTTTGATTGATGAACTATTAGTCCTTTGATTTTATGGACATTTGTTCCAAGTTTGAAAATATAAAGTAATTACCCTAGTGGAGGTGACTCTATATCCTCTATACTGTTTCAGAGTATAAAGAGGGCAGATTTAACACATACCTATATCTATAATTCTTCACTTCAGAAAATCTCATAACAACTACAGTTTACTCGACTTGGCAAAAAGGATGTATTCCCTGCTGGTAGGAGCCCTGACCTTTGGGCTTCCCTGTAGCGTGGGCTGGTTTCAAATCACTCACTGTAGGGTAGTATTTTTCACTTTGAAAATCATACAAAGAAATGTGGACTCCTCTGTGAGCCTTTTCAGAATACTTTCCAGATCCTCTCTCTTAAATGAAGTGTAGTGGCTGCAGACCGAGAGGGGAGAGCAGAGCAGAGCTGAGCAGCTGCTGCCTCGTTTTTTGGGGTGTGTCCTCTCAGTCTGTCAAAGCCCTTTTCTGTCCATGTAGAATGCAATGTATTTAACAGGCTTGTACAGTAAGTCATCATATACCATCATCTCATTCAACATGGTTTCATCATAACATTGGTGCGATTCTGTAAGAACTTAACTTTTGTTTACATCAATTAGCCTCTGGTAAAACTGGTTTCCTCATAATTGTTTCACCACTTCAAGTTGTAGAATCTATCAATGACAAGTGAGGATTTACTGTATATATTTAGGTCTGCGATACCTGAATTCCTCGGGTTAGTAGTGAAAGCCCCACCATCTAGCTCCATTTTCCTTTTCTAAACGTCTCTCTTGTCAGAATGGTAGAAAAATTCAACCCTTTGGCTAAAGCCATGACAAATCATTCCCTCATTGCCAAACACAACATACCCTCCATTACTATACTTTTATCAAAGCACTCACTTAAGGCATAATCTATGTGTCTTTGTAATTTTTCAGAAGTACTATGTGATCTAATTTTTTAAGAGAAAACACATTCTGTGTGACATTTACTATGTGTTGCATCATCAGGACAGGATTTTAGATGAAAAGAAGAGAGAGGACTGAAGGACTATTACACACCAGACACTATTCTAGAAGTTTTAACCCAATAGCCACAACGCTGACACACAACTATTAACTGCAGTTTACAGGCACACTGAAGAAGCCCAGAAAGGTTCATTGTATGGCTAACAATTGGTTGAGCAGGAATTTAAATCTCGAGAGTCTATTCCTTCAGCAAACCCCCCTACCTTTTAATGACTATAAAACTCTCTAAATCATATCTACCAGATTAATTATGTAAAGAGATGACTGCTTACCAGCAAATACAATATTTCACCAAGCATTGCCAGGAAAGAGCAAATATACACTTCGGATCACATTTTATTTTGCATCTTTCTTCTACTCTAAGCCACTTAATTGACCTTATGTCTTAGTCCATTCACACTTAACATCTTCTACCTACTTTCCATTAGCGTGATGAAGGCAGGTATGTATTCCACAGGGAAGAGAGAAGTGGGTAATTCTCTGAAAAAGGCTTTCAACATCACTGCAGCTTCTCTATGGCACATTCTGTCCCATTTAAATTTGTCGGTATTAAACTTGGCATCCAGTTCTTCACGGTATTGCTGAAAATCAACAAAAACAGTCAATATTTAATGAGCTTTTACCACCGGACCCCCTCCACTCCACTTTGAAAGCTGTTCTCATACAAACTATTAAAAAGCCTGACTTTTCCCAAAATGATTAAAGAATTGAAAGTTATTTCTGAATTAATTTTTACAAATGGTTTTCTAGAATCTTTTTGAACAATGTCAATCTTAAAATCATTAGCTAATTCTACACAAATATAAGAATTTTTCCTCAGGTCATAATTTCATTTATGTGGTTTTGGCAGAATGCCACATATCCCTTCGTGATAATGCAGTTAGACTGTTAGATTTTGACAAAGACTCCATTTCTTTTCTATCTTGCTCATCTAGAGTTTCTAAATTAGATCATGAATGTATGCCTCTCAGTTAATTCACATCCAGAATAAAGAAACTCTGATCTCATTCAACCTACAAACCAATGACATCTTCCTGAAGCAGTTATGGCAAAGTTTTAAGCCAAGACATACATATGTCTCCCACATGTGTGCATGCTTATGAAGGTTTGGAACACTGTGTAAATACTTTAAGAAACAAAACACTAAGCCTCCTTAAGTTCTACTTGGGTTATACATTTATGTTATCAATTCATTTGATCAGTGCCACCAATTCTTCAAGTTTCTTTTTCAAAGTCAAACTCACTTTCTACTGCTTCCTTCACCTACAGATGTTACTATTAATAGCAGATAGTTAAGTCAATTCCCTGATTAACCTTAACAGTTCCAAAAAGGATACTTACAATGTAACTTTGAAAACTCTTAATTTCTTTAAGACCCCTGCTTTATTCCTAGGAGAAGCCTAATTCTTCCAGTCTTAGATATGCATAGCCAGAGTCAGTTTTTAAAAAATTTATTGTTATTACTATTATTATAATATTTTATTATTTAAAGTATTACAAATAGTATATATATATATATATATATATATATATATATATATATATATATACACATACATATATTTATCCTTTTTTTCCAATTGACCTTCTCCCAGCCTCTCTTACCCCCTGGCACATGCCCTCCTCCCTACCCCCAGTGTCTTGTGTCTATTGGTTATGCTTACATGCATGCATACAAGTCCTTCGGTTGATCTCTTACCTTCCCCCTGACCAACCCTCCCTAGCCTTCCTGCTGTAGTTTGACAGTCTGTTTGATGTTTCTCTGTATCTACTTTTGTTCATCAGTTTATAATGCTTTTTACTCTCCATAAGTGAGTGAGATCATGGGAGAACATATTGGCCAATGTTATCTCTGATAAGGGTTTAATCTCCAACATTTACAGGGAACTCATACAATTTAATAAAAGAAAGATAAACAGACCAATAAAAATAAAATGGCAAAAGGGCCTAAATAGATGCTTTTCGAAATAGAACATTCAGAAAGCCAAGAGACATATGAAAACATCCTCAACACCACATTTCTATTGGCCTCAACAGGCCTGGAAAGCACAAAATTGGGCCTGATTGTAGCTGAAGCATTACTGTTAGTGTCATCCTCTCAGAACAATGAGAAGATAATTATGATGTAGTTTTTTTTTTTAAATGGTCTTCCTTCAAATATATTCCTAGAAAAAAATCATAACAGATGAAATTACAAAAAAAAAATAGTTTAAAGTTTGAACGAGGAGAAGAATAAAAACCCTTTTACTATATCAAGTTGCAAGGCCTTTCTAACTGTAATATTCCCTGTTTTTGTTCACTGGCTCAGATTTTTTTCACATTGGCTTTCCTGGAACTCAAACAATGAAAACATCTGGATTCTATTTTTTGGACTAATAAGAGGTGGAATAAGTAGGCTGAAATGACATAAAACTGATTAGGGGAGAAAAGGGACTTCTACCCAATGTGACTCAGAGATGCATGTGTCTACGAGAACACTTTGAAGGAATTGATAAGCCAATGGTAAGCATTTTCCAGTCAAAGATTAGCCAAATAGCCTGGCCAGCATGGCTCAGTGGTTGAGCATCAATCCATGAATCAGGAAGTCACAATTCGATTCCAGGTGAGGGCATATGCCTAGATTGCAAGCTTGATCCCCAGTGTGGGACATATAGGAGGCAGCCAATCAATGACTCTCTCTCATCATTGATGTTTCTATCTCTCTCTCCCTCTCCCTTCCTCTTTGAAATCAATAAAAAAAAATAAAAAAATAAAAAATAAAAGCACCCATGCAATATAAGTCCTTTTCCTTACAAACCGGGAATCAAACTGAGACCTCCTGATTCATAGGTAGACTCTCACCTACTGAGCCACACTGGGTGGGCACACAGGTGCTGTTATATGTAGAAACTAGCATTGCTTTAAGTGGAATTGGGCTTTGGAACTACAAAACTGAGTATTGTAGTGGTTATGGCCATTCCTACAAATTCTTATAAGGAAGTTCATTAAAAAGAGAGCCACGGAACATTTTTTAATCTAAAGCAAGTGGTAATGGAAATAAGGGCTCATATAATAATTGGCTTAATGAGTGAGAGGGACCCAACAAATTAAAGTGTTTAACACCAAAAACAGTGATGAGACATTTCAACTTTTCAAATTGAAGACAACAGCAGTGTTGATGGGGTATTGATGTGTCATTTCACTGTTGTTGGCTTTTAATTGTTGTTTTAATTTAAAAGAATACACAACTTAGGACACAAAAAAGAACAACAACGTCTAATCATAGGTAAGGAGGAAAACTAGGTAAGGCCAAGTGATAGTATCAAAACAACAAAAGACTCAATACCTGATGGTTGTATGAACTGGGTCTAGCTAGCTTAGATGTCTAACTAGGAAGAGAAAAAAAAAAATGTTTGTTACCTTGACTTTGGCAGTACATCCTGAAAGTCGAAAAATTCCTTCAGATTCCAAACCCGATTCCTCAACCTTCTCAAAAAACTAGAAAACAATGATACATTACAAAAATAAATACCTCCAATATGATTGCAAACATCTGAAATAACACCATTGATGACAACAAGTGATAAATTATCAAGCATTCATATGTGCCCGGTATCTGAATTGTTTAAGTTTTCACAACCACCCTATGAGGTCAATGTTTGCCTTTGATTTGCAAATGAGCAAACTGAGACTTAGAGCTGTTATATCATTTCCCCAAGATTAACCATCAAAGTAATGGCACTGACACTCTCAACTTGTGCTCTTCACCTCTAACATATGCTGCCACTTCACTATTTTAAGGTCTGATTACTACATCTCTTTCTGCAGATTGGCCAGTAAAAAATATTCTAAACTCACTATCATTAGTTACAACCACTCTGGCTAAGGAACTATAACAACTGTAGAAATACAATCAAGGAGGGAGAAATTATAAAGGGTTATAGCTCTCATGATCTCTCATGGTGATGGTGTTAAAATCATTATCGTCATCATAACTACTAACATTGATAGTGTGTTTTTTGTGTGTTAGATGCTATTCTCAGTACTTCTCATCTATCAACTCATTTAAAGCCTCACAATAAGGCTGAGGAAAGTACTATTAGAATCTTCGTTCTATGGCTGAGGAGACTGAGGCATGGTAAGCATAAATACTGGCCCAACTTCACATGAGTCTCTTGCTATTTTTCCTTCAAGACATAATGCCTGGAACTAAGCTAGCTCTTGCAGGTATAGAGAAAAGTATCTTAGAGTCACCATGGACCTTGGCCTTGGGTGTATACTGAGCTCCTTTTCCTGTCTACTTCTTGCTTGTGGCTAAATTAGCCTATTCTACTATTACCTCAGTTGCTTCATCAGTAGAAGGGACATGATAACACCAACCTCCTCTGGCTGCTCAGTGCTGAGGAGACGTGACAGGATGTGGAAGGCACTGTTACAGCCCCGTGCAGGAGAGACACCCTACAGATGCCCCCCCCCGCCCCCCCGCCCCATGCACACTGGCATGTTGCTGGCTCCTCTGCCATCCTCCTTGCTCCCACTGGCAACTAACTTATTACCTAGTTTGGGGAATGGTCCAACTTTAGCTAGTGGTAACAAAATTTAGAAAGATAGTGAAGAGATGGAGAATTATTATTGTGAAAAATGTAAGCATATATTTCCTCAGTCAATGTTTTCACATATTTAAAATCTCAATTTAAAATTCAATAAGACTTATGTTTAGGGCTTGGAATTTTAATTATGCCACTCTCTGTCACCTTTAAATAAATGGACACTTAGGTAAACTGATATAAATTATTGGGTATAAAAAAATGACTTAAAAGCAAATGTGCCATTCACCAATATTAGAGAGATATTAGCATATGATAGTTCAAATCATATCACTTAAAAACTTCCTCTTTGTCTATTAATAACTGTTTCATATTTCCCCAGTCACACCTAAAAATTACCTTAACAAGCTGCTTTTTATATTTATTAAGCTTTGTTAGAAAATTCATCTAAATGATTACAAATACACATTTTGAAATGTCCAACCTATGAAAAAGCTCAGCAAATATTTATATAATTAATAAATAGGTTGCTGATAATTAAGTCATCTTTTATCTCAGACAGAATAATGAAATATACAAAAAGACATACATATACCCAAATAATATTTTTAAAATATTGGATAAGCCAGATGTAACCAAAGGAAGCCATGTGATAGAGCATCTGTATCCATCCCCTGATGCTTTATGATCAACAGGCTCCAGAAGTTCCCTGCAAGGCAAACTGGTCCAAGTACGTGTGGGATGGCAGGGGCCTCATGGAAGAAAGCTGAAAATGGCTTGGGCCTGAGTCCTAACAGGGCTTAGCTTTAGTGTCCTTATCTCTAAAGGGAAATCCATTAATAGGTTTACAAATAGCAAATTGCAAGCACGAGGTTCTATTAATCCCCCGTTCATTTATATTCTACTCACTTTTTGTAACACAAGGGGCACTTTTACTCCAGGGTCCTTCTTTCGGTCACTCTCCAGTAGGACTGTAAGTGGAACTCCAAAAATCCCGTTGTCTTCATTGGAAAGTAATTGAGAAAGGAAAAAGAATCAGAAAAAAACACGATCTTATTCCAAGGTGTCAAAGCATTAAATTCAGAAGAAACCAGTCCTCTTAATTACCTCTTCCTTTTACTTTCTCTGTTTTGTTTCTCTTCAGTGGAATTCCAAAGGCATCAAAAAAGGCCGTCAACTCAATCAGAGAGAGGTGGCGGATTTTCTTCATGTCTTCTGAAGACAGATCCCCTGCTTCAGTTAAGCCAAATCTGGTTTTCTGAACAACAAGTTTCTAAAATGTATATAAGGATATTTATATTTTATTGCAAAGAAAAATTACTATGCTTTCACTCAAATGCACCTGGACATTATAATATATATATGCTATTTGCAAAACAAAACAAAAAAAATCTCTGAGGAGCATGTTGCATTATGAATGTAATTTACAGGTTACTACTATGTGGAGCAAAACAATGGTCTGAGAATACTATAATATCTAATATCATCATCCCAACTGTAAAAACTGCTTTCTTCTAAGGACCCTCCTATATGGGCAATAGCAAACATCCCAGGCATCGCATGAAATGTACAAACCATGGGCATGTGTGAGACAGGCATAGACACATCATTTAGGCACTCCCCGGAGAGCTTTCAATATATATTTCATTTTGAATTATCAGTCCTTAAATCAGGCATCATCTGTTCTACATAGTTTAAAATACTGTAATTTCCAAATTGAAACTGATCACACGTGCTGCTGAAACAGTAGTTATTTTACCTTCAAAATAAATTTTAGGTGATTCCAAATAGTCTTAGAAGAGAAAAATGCAGAGAAAGTGCCAAATAATCCTACTATCACTTTGAAGACAATAATATTGTTATTTTCTCAATTTCTATACTAGAAAGCAAAATATACTAAAATAACAAAAAAAACCTTCAACAATCCAGAAATATTGTAAAGACTATAAGAAGACCTTTAAAAAGCAAAATCTTGTTTTTATTAATATATAAGTATTGCTATAAATATTATATAATAATAATAAAATGTAAGTATTAAGTAATATGTAATTAACATAATTATATAAGTATAATATATAAGTATAGATATAAAGTGTACAACAAATACTTTGCTCTTAGAAAACCTAGTATAGGGGAAAAAAGTTTAAGTAGAAAAATACTATAGTTATTTAAATTACAAAGCTTTAGGTACATAGTCTACTTAGGGGTTCCTTAAATTAAAGCTTCCTTGGGGTTTTAAATCCACCCAATTCATTCATTCAACAATTATTCATTGGAACTCCAAGAATTTAAAATTAATAAATAAAATTTAGGATGTGTTTTGGGGCATAACTTGTGCTATTAAATGTCTGGTTATTTTATCTTCTTTCTGAGACCAAGGCCCCATATAACAACACATAACAAGAACAATATAGACAGGAACCACAATCATTTCTTGAGCAATGACTGCACATTAAACCCTAGGCAAAGTTCCTCACGGGAGGGAGGCTGTCCTGTCCCCTGAGTGTACAAAACTTCAGGAGGAGACACACCCTTGGATGACGGGGCTGGGGACAAGCGTCCTCCCTTGGGCAGCTCTCTCTGAAGACGCTGAGGGACTCCTCATGAAACCAGAGTTCCAGCGGACTCCTCTTGTTCTAGAATGCCCCTGTGCCCTTCACCATAGAGGCTTAGAGACCAAGAGGGTTTTTGGAGTTTAACACTCATAGGTTCAAATCCTGTTTCTGCCATCTACTAGCTATGGGCTACTTAGCTTCTTTGGGCCTCAATTTCCTTAGCTGAAAAATGGGACAAATCACAGGGAAGATTACAGCTGAATACCGAGTGCCGTGTCAAGCCCATAGAAGGCACTCAGCGAGTCTTACAGTTCTTGCCTGCCATCTTCTTCCTCTCCATCATGGGGTGTTTGTCTGGGAATGACCCAGGCCTCCTGGGGTAGACCACCTGTTTCTAGATGACGCATTCCTTTAGCTCTGAAACTACCTGAGCCCTGCTCACCACGCTGCCTGCCATGGTCAGCTCAGAAAGTCAGGACTCCACATCATGAACTCTTCTCAAATGCATTTATTAGATAGCAAGCAGATCAATGTAACATAGTTCCTGTACTGGGCTATCAGGATAGAATATCCTAGACATAATGAGGCTTTCAGGATAATGAAGTACAGAGCACTTCTTGCTCATCCATAATAAAATTATAAATTCTTGACTTTGTTTTTTGATTAATTTTTAGTGTCTGTCCTATAGGCTTTCACTTCTTGGTGTTATGACTATGCCTTTCTGCAATGCTCCCATGTGATATGTGGTTCTAGAGGCACAAGTAGGTATATGAGTACTGTTAGGATCTGCATTAACCTATAAGTAAGGACACAAAGTACATGAAACACACAGCCAGGTGGAAAGCCTGTTTCATCTCTGCAACAGTATTCAAGCACACACACCCTCACAACTCTTCCTCAACCCACGGCTGCCAGCAGCCACCAGGCAGGCTTCACTGCACAGCAAGTAACGCCCTGAGTTTATGCAGAGCTGATGCCTGGCTTCTCCCTACATCGATGCACAGCCAAAGAAATTTTTAAAAACTCTAGTTTGTACCATGTAGAAGTCAGCTAGTGGAATAAAAATAAAAGCTTTAACTTACAGTAAAAACATAGTCTTCTTTCTTAAAATCCGACTTCTTAAATTTACTTTTTCTTGGAGCCTCTGTAACCATTTCTGAGTAAGATACTTCAAAGGACAGCTCTTCAGCCTCAGGTGGAATGTTCTTAACCTGATAATCATCATCTAAGAAAAAATGATATAGAATATTTAATTTGCCACTTAATCAATCAATATCATTTACTTTAAAATAAGCACACACTATTTACAAGTTAATCCATAAGCATGTTAGAATGTTTACATCCAGAGAAAGGTGTCAGACCCAGAACATAGTATATAATCATTATCAAAACAAATTTTCTATTTAGTGTGATGTTTTCAATTTTGGATTTTTGTCTCAGGAAAGGCCTTGAGGATTCTAGAGGAAGTCCAAACATGGCATATTTCTATATATTATCATGGTATTAAAATTAAGTCCATCTAGACCTACAGCTGCTGCTACTGGGGAAGCATCGTTGTGATTCCAACAAATCACAAAAAATCCAGATTATTTGTGAAAGAGGCCCCAAAACAAAGACACTACCCAAGCCAGTGTTTTCTAAATGATATTATGGTAGCAAAAAGGAAAAGATTCTGCTTTCAGTTTGGCTTTATTAATTTTGTCTGGTGGGACAAAACAGGGTGCTGGGAGGTGGAAGGAGTGCATGCAGGAGTGGCAGAATCAATATGGGGAGAAAAACACCTACATTTCCCTTTTAGAAACTCACTGCTAACTGTATGGAGCACCACACAAAAATGAGAAGACATAGCTTAAGTTCAGCAGGAGGCTGTGTCACTCACCGCTCACGGAATTCTGGACTGACTGTCCAGGGCCTGCTGATCCATTGGAATGAACTGGTATATCTGGAATAGTCTCAAGGATGGACTGTGAAACAAGGAAGATGAACACAAAACATTTACCATCAATACGGTCTACCCTACATTTCAGTCTAATTTATGTTCAGTAGTATAAGAGAATTAAAAGAAATTATTGAGCCTGCATCTAATTTCCTTTGTTTCTTCATTCAGTTCAGATCTGTACAGCCCACACAGTTACTCAAAAGAGAACTAGGTCAAGTTTAAAATAAGTGCATCTCCTTAGCTCTTAAATATTTATTGCTTATATCTTTCCAAAACATAGATATTACATTGCTTAATGTCACAGAGTTTGACAAATATAGTATTTTTAAAACTGATATCAGAGAGAGGAAGGGAGAAAGAGAAACATTGATGTGATAGACAAACGTCATTCAGTTGCCTCCCACTCACACCCGACACCAGGATATTGAACCTGCAACCTATGTGCCCTGACTGGGAATTGAAACCAGTCACCTTTTGGTGTATAGGATGATGCTCTAACCAACTGAGCCACACTGGACACAGTATTTGTTATTCTTTTTTTTGTTGTTATTATTAATCCTCACCAGAAGATATTTTTCCATTGGTTTTTAGAGAAAGTGGAAGGGAAGGAGAGATGGGGGTTGGAGGGAGGGTGAGAGAGAAAAAGAGAAAGAGAGAGAAAGAGAGAAAGAGAAAAAGAGAGAGAAAGAGAGAGAGAGAGAGAGAGAGAGAGAGAGAGAGAGAGAGAGAGAGAGAGAAAGATCAATGTGGGAGAGACACATCGATTGGTTGCCTCCCACAAGTGCTTCGACCAGGCCAGGGATCAAGCCTACAACCCAAGTATGTGCCCTTCAACAGGAATTGAACTTGAGACCTTTGGTACAATGGGCCAACAATAATCACTGAGCCACATTTGTTATTCTTGATGCACTTGGTCACACATTTTGTTCATAAACTCTAATCATGACATAGTTAGGTGTTGGTAATGCTAGAGCCAGACTGTTTGAATTTTAATTCTGGCTTTACCACTTACTGTGTGACTTTAAGCAAGGTATTATACTACAACTCCCTATTGTTTAGTCTCCTAATCTGTAAAATGGAGATGTTAGCAGAACATATTTTAAAGTGTTATTATGAATTGTAAATGACTTATCCTATATAAAATCACATGAAACAATATCTAGTAGATAGCACTATATAAGAGTTAGCTAGTATTAATACATTAACATATTAATTCTTTCACTATAAAATACTACCAAATATTGAAAAACATTAAAAGTTCACAACCTATTTGTAGCATAGCTCTGGTGACAATAACAAAACATTACACACACATACACATGTACACATACTAACCCGACATATTAGACTAGTGGTTAAAAATGTTAAAGTAGTAGCAAATCATATTCTATAGTATAATAAAAAAATAACATAACACATAAGTAGGATTTATTTAAGCAACAAAATTAGAGTTCAACATTAGGAAAACCTAGCACTGTAATTTCCTGAAGTAATTGCTTAAATAAGAAAAATTATATATTCGTTTTAATAGATGAGGATCATTTTATAGAATTCAACTTCCATTCCTGATAAGAAGCATGAAACCTAGAATATTCTAGTTAATGTTGAAACAGTAGAATATCACAAGAAAATAAAAACTTACCTAAAGAGCTCCATAATTATTATTCATTGTCATAAGTGACTGTGGTCAGTCAGTCAGACAAGGAAAAGAAAAAATAAATTGGGTAAATAAAATTTTCAGTATTTCAAATGATATCTGCGCAAATTATAAAGTCAAATGAAAATTTCTTAAAAGTAAAAAAAAATTCAGAAAGGAAACTATAAGATATTTTTGTAAAAGAACAAAATAATTAATTTCCTTATATATTTGCAAAAACAAACTAGAAGATATCATAAAAACCCTACCATTTAAAATATGAAAGAAGAATATTACTAGTAAGTTCCTAGTAATTAAGCAGTAAAAAGGTATGTTTGGCTGCATGAAAAAAAAATGTAAGATAGAAAATTATGAAGTGTTTTTGAGGGACAGATGATATAAAAAAATGGAAAGACACAATCATTGTTTCTCAATAAGAAACAATATTTTAAGATGTGAATTCTTTCCCTGACATTAATCTTTAAATTCAATAAAATTCTCAGTGGAGTTCTAACAAGATTTCTTTTTTAATGGAGAGTAATAGTCTTATTCTAAGTTCTTCCAAAAGAAAAGATTTCTAAGAAGAGTAAAGAAAATTTTGATGCAGAATAATGAGAGTGAATTTAGATTAAAAACAAACTATAAAGTCATAGTAATCAAAATAAACCCTGTATTTATAGATATTTCATATATTATGGAGGTTCATTTCAGATGTATAGAAAAAATGAGAGACAAAAAAAAAATTGGTCAAGCCAAGGTTATCCTTTGGAAAAGATAAAGTTAGGTTACCTACTTTATAGAATTTCATAACATAAATTTCTATGTGGCAAATTATCAGGAGTCTCTGTAGTCTTGTAAATGACAGCAAATTGTCCCTGGGAATGTATCTAGGCAGGTGAGATTTACCTTTACAGACATCATGCCAGGATCCCTGAAGCCCATGCCACCACTTCACTGAATTACTGAAGACCCCACCATATAAAAAGCCTGGGGAACCAAACTAGGGTGCCTGTAGCTCTTATAACCAAAAAGCAGGGGAAGCAAAACTCTTGGTAAGATGTTCTAGAATGATTTTCAATACAGGCACATTAAGAATTAAGTTGGCATCTGTGAGCTGCTCTAGCAAATAACCAATTGTTGGACATTTCTTAGTAAAGATATTTTTAAAAAATATATTTTATTGATTTTTTTTACAGAGAGGAAGAGAGAGGGATAGTTAGAAAAATCGATGAGAGAAAATCATCGATCAGCTGCCTCTTGCACACCCCCTACTGGAGATGTGCCTGCAACCAAGGTACATGCCCTTGACTTGAATCAAACCTGGGACCTTTCAGTTGCAGGCCGATGCTCTATCCACTGAGCCAAACTGGTTTCGGCAGTAAAGATATTTCAAGTAACAAACCAAAGTCAGTCGCATTGGAGACTGGTGCCAAAGAGATTTCTTTTTTCCTGCAACTTTTATTTATGTCATTATCAGCATTAAATCAGTTTTCAGAAAACAAAATGAAAATAAAACCAAAATCTAAGTAATCTACCCCAGTAAGGTCTATGATTCCAACAAAAAGATCATTTATCGCCGAAACCGGTTTGGCTCAGCGGTAGAGCGTCGGTCTGCGGACTGGAAGGTCCCAGGTTCGATTCCGGTCAAGGGCATGTACATTGGTTGCGGGCACATCCCCAGCAGGGGGTGTGCAGGAGGCAGCTGGTCGATGTTTCTCTCTCATCGACGTTTCTAGCTCTCTATCTCTCTCCCTTCCTCTCTGTAAAAAATCAATAAAATATTTAAAAAAAAAAAAAAAAAAGATCATTTATCTCTTTTACACTCTCAAATTTTCAAGAATCCTATTTGCTGACGATATGTACTCAGTAAGGATTTTTAAAATAATGAATGAATGTATGAATGAATGGAGAAGCTAGCAGAAAAGAATAAAAGATGAAAAAAACATGACTAGTATCAGTCCTATTACAAATAAAATTGTGGTCACGGAACTGCCATGGAAAAGCCTCAAAAACAAGGCCTTTCCAACCAACTTTCTTAGCAACTCAATTGTGAAAACATCCCACTTCCATTTCTGCTTGGTGTGCGCCTGGAACCAGGGGCAGTCCGTTTGTTGGGGCTCATACAAAACGTCTGGGGTGGAAGAGTCAGCTGGGGAGGCAGACAGGAGGTGGGGGGAAGGAGGGAGGGCTTTAAGCAAGACTTGCAGCTTAGGAAAGATGAATTTGAGTGTATAAACAAACATCAGGAGATGACTTAAGGAGCTATTTCAGCAATACAGAAAGATAATAAGTTTCTGTACTAAGGAAGTAGTGGTAGGAAAAGAGGGGAGTAGAAATGCTCTAGAACTACTTAAAACGATACAATCCACAGGTTTCGGTGATGGGCATATGAATTCAGCTAAAAGGACAAAGTTCGTAAAGTTCCTCCATGCTTGATAGATGTAAAGAACACCCTTTGGTTTCTGGCTGCAATGGTATTAATTTATGAAGTCCTCTTTTAAAATGAAATATAGCCACTCCTCAGTTTTGAGTCTCCTTCCTCCTAATTATTTCAGGGTTCCTAGGTCTACTGGCAGCTGCAGTTTTCTTGCAATGTCATTGACAATTTTCCTTATCTATTTTGAAGAAACCACTGCTTTTTGCCTTGAACTGGCAATTTTGCCCTGACATGCAATTGTCTTGGCATGCGATGACTTACCACAGAGCCACTCCCGGGAAGTGCAAACTTCCCTTCTTCATCCTGGGACCCATCTGACAAGGTAGTACTGTTGAGAGAAGCAGCATCTGGCTAAATGGAAAAATGAAAGTGCATTCTTATTCAGGCAAATATTTTCTAATGTGATGGTGCATTCCACTGTGTACATAGTTGTTTACATGTGGCAATCTATGAAGTTACAACTGCCTGAGCCCAAACAATTGCATCCAGCCCTTCAGGGTTCATTGTTGTAGCCACCTAAACACCCTCTGACACTGGCCTCTGCGGCAAACGCTTCCATTGCCTACCACAAGCTCCATTTTCCTTAGCATCATCTTGGTTTTGTTCCAGGGATTTGGGTGTTAAACTACAGAACTTGATCACCAGGTACTTTTGCAGCTAAGAGTGATCATGTGATAAGTGTGGACAATGAGGTGAAATGGTAATTTACCAAGAGTGCTTCCAGCAAAGCTATGGCTTTCTTGAACAAAAGAGCAAGGTCAGCTTGTGTATGCTCATGACAGCATATGGATGAAAGCCTGGAATTGGGAAGCATCTTGTCTGAGTAAGGACAATGGCCACAGGGAAGAATGCCAGAAGGTCATCTGAGGTTGGTCGATGCTAAGGGACATCATGTGGCTTCTCTGTCACACTTGGACCATTTCCCTTTGTGTGAGGCAAAGCAACTCTTCATTTTCTATTACATGCAGCCAAACACAAACTTAACTCACCCCATCTTATTTTTTTTAACAGATACTAAAATAACCTTTTTTCAGAGATTAAAATTCAGTAGCAATAGCATCAAGTTATTTTTAATTTATAAAGCTGGGATGAAGAAATTTTTGCTTCAGTGTACAATGGCTTTGCTGAAATTTAAGATTGGAATATTCTTTCCTATTACAAAGTTGGATATAATTTATACCTATGAAAACATATAGTTTTGTCTTTTTAAAATACTGTCAGTCATCTTGCTTGACACTCTATTTTCTAAATTTTCTATAGAAGGCATGCATTACTTTATAAAATGAATAAGATTTTTTTTAAAGAAACACATAAAGCACAAAACTAAAAAAAATTCAAGTCAAGATGGTGACTTCACAATCACTATATCCCCTCCTACCTCAAATCACTAAAAAATGATAGAAAACTATATATTTATACTTAAATCCTCACCCAAGGATACACTTTCATTGATTTTAGAAAGAAAAGAAGGGAGAGGGAGAGAGAAACATTGATGCATGAGAGAAACATCACTTTGTTGCCTCTCACGCACACTCTGACCTTGGATAGAACCTGCAATCTGGGTATGTATCCTGACAGAGAATCTAACCTGCACCCTTCAGTACATGGGATGATGCTCCAACCAACTGAGCCACACTGGCCAGGGTGAAAACATATATATATTTTAAAGGAACAGATATTTAACAGCACTTTAAACCAGTAAAGAATTCTGTAAGATATCAACTGATAGATATTTGTAGATAAAAAGAAAATGGGCCAGGCTGGGTTGGCATGGCTCAGTGGTTGAGTGTCGACCTATGAACCAGGAGGTCACCAGTCTGATTCCAGGTCAGGGCACATGCCCAGATTGCAGGCTTGATCCCCAATAAGTGGGGTATGTGTGTGCAGGAGGCAGCCTATCAGTGATTCTATCTCATTATTGATGCTTCTTTCTCTCTTTCCCTCTCCCTTCCTACACTAATCCATCATAAACTAATTACTGCAGAGAATGTAGGAGCCTGGAGAGCTGTAATTCCACCTGAAAGTGTGCTGGTATCTTATGCCTTGTAGAACCCTTTCTACCTTATGTTTTCACGGATGATGTGTTTGGTGGATCATCTCACTTTCTTGCTGTGATAGGATTCTGATACACAGGACTATGGGGGAGCGACTAGAACCTGAACAGGAGAAAACAACCAGGACCCATAGTCTTGATCAGAAGTTCTCCCTGCACTGGATGTAAAGCTTAAACCCTGAGGATACTTGCTGCCACCTGAGGAGACATGTGCATGTCCCTGACCAGATGGTATCCACATGCAGGCAAACATTTCACTGTTTGCACCACTTACCGCCTCACATTCCAAAACCTAACATGTTCTCTACACAGATGTTTACATTTGGAAAATAACTAGAGAAAACTAAATATTTATATCTAGTTGATACTGAAACGCTGAAAAAATATTTACATGGCAGTTTGTTATTTTTCTTTATGAGCTCAACCACAAGGACCAAAGTTTAGTTGAGAACATCCTCCACTTAGAATACGCATTAAAAAAAACCATCTAGTATTTGTTGTTTAAAAAAGCAATAGAATTTAGTTATTTTTTAGTTATGAAATTAGTCCTTGTAGATTTTAAGAACTATGATTGATGGGGCTATTTGCCAAAAATATGAATTACTTTGCATCTTTATCCAAGAGAAATGAGAATATACAAATCTTCATATTATATGAATATTCATGGAAGCATTACTCATAATAGCTCAAACCTTGAAACAACACAAATGTCCATCAACAGGTAGTATATTTATGCAATGAACTATTAGCAGTAATAATAATACCAAACTTTTAATACAAGCAACAAGTGGATGGATCTACAAGTATTTTGAGTAAAAAAAGCCAGATATAAAAGTACCTACTATATTTATAACTAGAGGCCCAAAGCATGAAGATTCGTGCAAGAATGGGCCTTCCCTCTCCTGGCTACCAGCACTGCCTTTTCTCTGCCTAGAGTTGCCTTTTTGCTCTAGACCAGAGCCGCCTGTCTGCCTTCCCACACTGCCCAGAGGCCTGGAGTCTCTGGGGCCTTGCAGAAGGCCTGGGTAGCCGCCATCTTTGTTGGGTTAATTTGCATACTCACTCCTGAGTGGCTGGTGATCTCTGTGAATGGGAGGACAATAAATTGGAAAGGGTTTGAGGGAAATTTCTGGAGAATAGAAATGTTTAATATTTTGGCTGACTATGGTTACTTGGGTACAAACATTTGTTAAAACAACTTAATCATATACCTAAAGTGTAGTTATTATTTGTAAATTACATAGTTCTTGTAAATTATGCAGTTATTGTTTGTAAATTATATCTCAACAAAAAGAACACATCAGAATAATTTGATTCCTTATAATTGAATTCTTCACAGTGATTTATGGATCACTGCTATGAGTTAAAAACCTATGCCTACCTATACTAACAAGTACATCAGAGAGAAAAAAGTTGTTCTTTGGAAATAAGAATAATCTTGCTAAAATTTATAAAAAGTCTGAGACCAGCTAAAAATAATACAAAAACAACCAAAAAAAATATTACTAATTTGAACATAAAGAATAAATCTAGAACACAAAGCAAATAAACTAACATGATAAAAAAAAATGTGGGATATTGAAATATAATTCAAGCAAAGTAACAACCATCTAATCTGTGTTCTAAAGCAGTGGGACATAGAAAATGTGGGGAAAATGAATACAACAGAAGACAGTCCACAAAAACTGAAGACAGATAGATGAAGATGGAAAGGAATCAATGACCAGAATAAATGAAATAAAGAGCAGATTCTTATGAAACTTCAGAACTACAGGTTTCTTATTTTTTTAATGAAAATGAACTTCTAATTGTAGTTATAAGTCATGCAACTTAGTGATAAAATTATATTGCTTTAATATCAGACATCATGACTATATTTTGCAATGATTTATAAATGAATAGCGGGAATAGACAGTTTTTTTCATTTGTAAGATTGAAAATACATTAGATTATCTCACAAGCACATATGACCTACACAAATATTTCATTCTCAGTCACAGAACACTGGAGACGCTCTGGTTTTCATTAAGCAGGAAATGTATTTGGAGTCTATTCTGACAGTCATGGGCTGCTTTGTAGGTCTCTTGCTTATTCTCTAAGATTTTTAACTGCATTTTTAATACAATGACATTCTCCAAAATAATATGAAAATATTGTATTCCCTGATGAAAGCCAACTTTTGCAAAATTAAATATAAAGGATGTTAATAAAATCATAAACTTTTATATGTGACCTTAGAAACTTTTATTTTTCATCTTGCTTCTCTGTATTTTCTTTCTCCAAAAGTATATGTATTGCATTAATAACAAAAACACATACCTATACTGAAGTGGGGACAATGCTAAGGAGGCACTACAAGAAAACTTAGGTGAGGATGAAGGACTGAGGGTGCACCACTCCCAGTCACTCAAAACTAGAGAGTGGAAAGTAAAAAGTAAGTAATTTGTTACATAACTGTACAAAAATTCTCAGACTCAGAACAGCATAAGACAATCTTGCTGGCAAGGAAAGAACAGTTCAACAAAAAGCAAATAGACAACAAAGCTCAGAGTGAAAATATTAAAGGGCAGTAAGGGGCCCCAGGGTAATGGCCAGGATAACTTCCTGTAAAGTGTTTTCTGAACAGAGGGGCCAGGCTAACCTTCCAGCATCCCTTTGTACTGAACAGTAGGCAGCAGCTATGTATGAACCCAAGAAAGACACTCTGAATGAAGTAAGCTACCTGCCTTGGTAAGATTTCTTGCCAGATATGCTGAACAGATAAAAGGTCCAATCTGGAGGAAATGGCAACAGAGTAATGAATGCTGCATGGACATGCTCTCAGGAACAAACTGGAATTGCAACTAAAATACAGAAAAACTTCCAGAATAATCAATAGAAGACTCACAGGAGAGAACCCTGATATCCGAGGACATAAAGTAGAAACCATATAGATACAGCAACTGAAGTTCCAGAGAAATATCTCAGCTGTGGGGGGTTGCCACTGAGAACTCTGGGATGTAATCCCCAAGCTGGGCTTCCCAGCAGACAGCATCACAACTGAGAAGGGTACCCCCATAACATCTGGCTATGAAAAGCAGCAGGATTGCTGTCTGCTAGGGAGTGACAAATGAAAATTCAGGTACCCTCTTAAAGAGCCAACACACAAAATTCCCTGTGGAGCTGCCCACCTTGTGGGCAGAGCGGACTGGAGCAGCGTAAGTAGAAGCCAGGATTGGGCACTCGGCCAAAGGTGGGGTGGGGAGGGGAGAGGTTAGAGCTCAGAAGGAAGACACCCCCAGTTTCCTGGGCAGAGTCA